TCGACTCTCCATCACCTTCATATCTCTCTTCCTGACTCAACTGAGATGCCACAAACTTGTCCAAGGCCCTCCAGTCAGTCACCTTCTTGGGCTCGTCTTCCACTTCAGTATTGTTCTCCGATATCAGAGACATTGAGCTCGGCCTCTTTGATATCAATGGCAGAGATGGGCTCTCTAGCTGAGGCAGCTGCACAAAATGATCAGAGTGCATGAAGTTCAAACTGTCAGCTTCTGTCTCTTGCTTGCACATGAAATTCTGGGCTAAAAAGCTTGGAGGCTGCCTCGAGATCATATATTCTGTTGGATCAACGACAGAACTGACACCGTTGAGTTCGTCGTAGAAGTAGCTTGAGTCCCACCCTTCAATGCCTTTGTTTTGGCTACTGGTTCTCTTCTTGAATGCTCTGCATACCACCCATCCTTCTTCCTGAAATAAATAAATTAAATTACTTTCCATTTTGTTTTTCTAATCATGTTGTTGTGGAAAAGAGGTTGGGAATGTTTCTTGAGGGGAAAAGTGAATGTTTTTCCTTTTGACCTTTGTACATAGACATGCATTTTCTTTAAGTAGCTTTTGGAGTTTTCTTTCTGTTTGGTAAAGAGAGTCGTAGCTTGATGTCAATCTAAAGGCCATGCAACAGAAATGGAACTTTGCTTTTTGACAAACTCAAGGAGGAGAAAGCCACACCAGAAAATGAATGGGCAGAAAGCAAATTAATACATGCTTTTAAAAGCTTTAACTTTTGACTTTCATGTGTTGGTGGGAGTGAGACTGCACATATATATATTAGTGGTCTACGACTTACGCATGCAAATTACATGAGATGGTTCCATTGCCTTTTATAAAACTACAGTACTCACACAATATTAAGTTTCTCTTTTTTTTAAACCATGTTTGTGAGAGGCTACTATCTGATGTTGTACGCTCGAGCATGGAGAGAGAGAAAGTGTTGCCATAAACCTTTTTGTTTAGCAAGTGATGGTAACTGATGCCAAACTCCAATCTATAAGAAATTCTGAATCAGCTATAGCCTACGTATATTAGGTCAACAAGTGCTGTTTCAAACCCATGCCATGTTGACCATAGCTTCTCTCTACCGTTAATATACTCAGTGCCGGTTTGTGTGTGTGTGTGTGTGAGAGAGAGAGAGAGAGAGAGAGAAGATGAGA